TACCTACCTACCTACCTACCTACCTACCTACCTACCTACCTACCTACCTACCTACCTACCTATCTATCTATCTATCTATCTATATCTATCATCTATCTGAAGGTAGGAGCTTTTGGAAAAGCCAGTTGCTGGTAAAATTGTCTCTGTGGGCAGGAAGGATGAATCTGGTAGTAGATAGATGAAAGAGTAGTAGTGATAACTTAGAGAACATAAGTTCATGTGCCTACAGTGTACTGCTCATAAGAGAACCTAAAAACTTACATGATGCTATTCTATCCTAGGAACTGAAATAACATTCATCTTTTAACTTGCTTGTACTTCTGCATACGGAAGGAAGGCCATTTTAGCTTTTGGGCAGTAGGAAACATGAATATGAAAATATGAAAGAAAAGAAATAGTCTGAGGCAAAGTGAAAATATTTTTCTTTGTCATTCCTCAGGAAGTATGCCTCTTAAGTTATAGGATCCCTTAAATTAAAATCCCAAATAGGTAAGGCTTCCTACCAAATCTGATATTAAGGTTCTACAGATATGGAACAACTCAGAATGTTAAAAACAATCAGTCCTAGAGACAGAAAGTAAGTCTTCAAACTTTTAGTGATGTTAAATATCCTTAGATTATTAAAATGAGTCTTGAGACTCATTAACTTTTGAAGTTAAATTAAAATATTAAGATATACCCATACCTTAATTCTTTCTATGTGTAGGTCTATCTTTATTACCTATGAAGCTATAAATATGATTTCATTGAATAATTTGAAAAGAGAGATTACAGATAGATAGATGATAGATAGATAGATAGATAGATAGATAGATAGATAGATAGATAGATAGATAATTACAAATAATAAAATAACATTTTTGTTTTTACATTGAGGAAGCTATCTACCCTTTTAGCTTACTAGCCTATGAAATTAGCACTGCATGCTGTTTCAATCTAATTAAGCAATTTATTTAGTGCATTAACCTAGTCTAAAGATAATTTGTAGTGTTTACAATCAATATTTTCTTTCCTTATGGTGTTTGTTTCCTGAGTTTCAGGTTGAAAATAGATTATTTTATTGCAAAATAAGCTGTACCTCAACCACCCTCAACACAGTTATTTTAGTCCCCTTCTCCAATGCAAAGCAATCCCCTTGCTGCTTAGCTTTAATTCCACATAGAAGCATTATCTGTTCCCAAAAGAATACAGAAAACCATCCCTTACCTCTTAACATTGAAATTAAATGTCCGTTTTTGCTGATGTGAAATATGATCACATAAAAGTGACTGATTTATATAAATTGTTTCTCATGGAACAGGTTTTTGTGGTTTGCCTTGTTTTTGATTAAGTTACTGTCAAGTAAATAAGCAAATTAATGCTGAATCAAGCTGTCTTGCCATTCTCTTTTTTCTTTCTGTGTTCTTCACTCTTGTTTCCTACTGTAGCACTGTTACTTTGGAAAAAATACCAAAGTTTAAATAGTTCTTTAGCCATGTCCTTTGAGTTTTTTATGACACTTTCCAAGTTTTTGCCTTTTTGTTTAATGCTAAATATCTAGACTATAGCTCTGCTTTGTTTGCTATTTCTAATAGAAACAGAATTTGCCAATCCTAGGCATTAAGTCAAAGCAATTTGGATAAAGCTCAGCTCGGCAGAATTTTTCTGATTTTCACTTCAGTCCTTGCCTGCCTGCCTGCTCCTTCTGTATATCTCAGCGAAATTTCAATCAGCTCTCTAGTGGTTTTTTTTTAAAAATTTTTTTAGAAGAGTGAAATTTTCAGCTTGAGGCTTTTTTAAAAAAACCAGCATTCTGACACAGTGTGATTAAAAAAGAAGTTGACCAAAGAATGAATTATCTATTAATATCACATCCTTGGTTGTTTAATATATCAAACAAAGTCATGTCACTTGTCATTTTCATCACTTTTCAATTAGCTTTATAACATTCTTGTCAATGCTAGTCCAGCACCTGTTTTCATCTTTAACATTCTATTTCACTGTTTACCAGCATGAGATGTGCTTATAATACATAATGATCAATTCCTTGACTAAGGATATTTCCACACCAGTAAGAGTTGGATTATTTTGGATGACTGGTTTATTTTATAACAGTATGATCACTTTGGCAGTGGAACCAAATGCTTAGAAAGGTGGTGAATGTACTCAAAGTTAGTTTGCTCAGTGTGCTATAGTGGAGTTTGGATTGCCTTCTGATGCTTTAAGTTGGATTCCTACATTGAGCACAGAATGGATTTGATAGTCTAAATAGCTTCTTCTGACTCAATGAATGTATTAAATAGTTGGGAAATGATCTGCAGAGTATGATAATGAAGATTCATAGCTCTACCTGCTTCTGGGCGAAGTCATACTGATTCTTTGCCATTTCTAAAATATGCACAGTTTTTAGTCTTAAAATGCTATATAACATTCTCAATGATCTGAAAGTCATGGTCTATTGGTGCTCTTGAATGAGTATCTTTTAAAATATTTTAATCTTCACTTTATATAAACAATAGAGTGCTACACTGAAGGGTCCTTTGACCATAAAAGCAGGTAGAGAATTCAGCAGTGATTTCAGAAGTGTTTTAAAGCAATTACAATATTTGAGAGGATGTTTCTCTATAAGCTAAAGTAGTACAAAGAACGGCTCATTACATCGTAATGTGTATTTTAGAAACTCTGTCTATTAACATTACATTTGATTCTTTAATTTGCTTTCTAGTCATGTTCTATCCATGTTCTGCATTAACTCATCAGTTGGTGGTAAGTTTGTGCTTTTTATGCATATTCAACAACATTCTTTAATTCAATTTCTCTGTTTCTTCTCATGCAGTCTGACAGCCAGATATACAACTCAGTCTAATCACAGTGGAATTGCAACCAGTCAAAAAAAGCTTTCTAGGTCAGTTAACATCTCTAATTTATTGCTTGCTAGTGATGCTTAATAGAGTCACTGCCCACTGGCATTTTTATTCTCTAACCCACAATAGATATTAAGGTAGTTCATTATAATATTTCAGGTGTAGGTTTTACAGGATGTTCTGTTGGTTAGTGGAAAACTGACCATGTCTACAGTAAAGAATCTACAGAAGGATAGTTGTACTAGAGATATCCTTATGATGCAGCTTAGCAATGTAACATAAATATTTCAAAGGACTTGTTCAGTGTCTATTGGTAATTTAGATTCAAAAGCTCTGAATTCAATTTAAATTGAAGGTTGAATTTGTTTAACCTAAGACGCCTTGGTCTTTATGTTCTTCAGAAATGTTGAATCACTGCAGTATGAGCATTAGCTGGGAATAATAGCAATTTAGACTAGAACCAATTTTCCAGATAGAGAATAAGCTCCTCTCATTGAAAGGTGTCCAAGTGCAAATTGTATAGCCACGTGTCTAGGACGCGATACTTTAATTCTATGTACCAAACAAGTTTTAGATTTTGCATCCTAACTGCCTACATCCAAGTCTAGGATTTAGAATTTTAAATTGTACTCTAGCACCTTTGGAGAGAAAACAGTTGGGAAAAGGCTTGAAATATATATAGTTTAGCTGTGCTTCAGAACCTTTTTTGCAACTGATGGTTGCTTGTTAGTCTCATTTCTAGGCTTGTCTATTCTGGTCACAGTGGTTGGATTTTCATATTTTCACATGGCATTAATTCAGATAATTGTTTTTTCTTTTACCTTGATTTGTTGAATAAACTATGTATGTTCAATTTTGCACCTATACCAAGCCAAAATGCTAGGTTCATACATTATAACCACTAAAAAATAGATTTAGTTGACTACTAGAGTTCTCATCCAACTCAACAACCCCCCCCCCCATTTTTTTCATTTATCGGCCTAGCCTGAAAGAAGAGAAACTGAATTGTGTACTAGTACTTTATTCTGGAATACTGCAAAAGAAACCAGCCCTGTGTAAAATAGAACAGTCTGTGGGCTTGTAAATAGAAATGCACAACTGTCTTCTAAATTTGTTTTCCATTATCATTTTTCACATAAAGGAAGATCAGAAAAGACTCTGGCCTTGCACTAAAGCATTAGAAAAGACTCTGGCCTTGCACTAAAGCACACATTCTACAAGTAAAACAGATTGAGATCCTGAAGTGTCCAAGCTGGAATAGGAAATACTCCTTGATTCTAGAATCCCTGTCAATCTGTGTAGATAGGGTACTTATGTTGTATATTAAAAGTGTACTTGAATAAAAACAATTTGTGCTTTTCCAGTGCATATCAAAGATACTTAAAAAGGTTTTAATAAAATGAAGTATTTAGAGGCAAGCATAATTTCTGTGAAAGAGGCTAGAAGCAAAACATATTTTCAGTGGAAATTGTACAGCTCTGAATAGCCTGAATGTCATTATATAACCCTGTCACTCTGCCAAGTTTTGTAGCTTTCTTACTTAGAATCACTACTTTCAGTTCATTTATTTCCTAAAGGAAGACACCTGGTTCCTCCTTTTGTGTTCAGTCTGTGTTGATTATGTGTATTCCTTGAAAAACAGTTCATTACTGGCTATCAGTTGGGTAGTCCATGAATAAGTCATTCTGTCCAAGTTGCTAAGATAACACGAAATGAGTTATACCAGAGTGCAGTTGTTGGGCACCTGTGGTCATAGGTTTTCAGTCTCATTTCTTACGGACTCTCTTGTCTCATTCACAATTTGTTCTGTCTGGAAATTAACAGTTGTTATTTGTCCAACAGTATAAATTTATAAGGGTGTTTTGTAAACTTCTAATCAAAAGTATGTTTTTTTGTAAATTATTGTTGCTTTAAACTTTGCATTTCCTTACTTGCTTAAAATGATTCTATGGGTGGAATATCCATAAATGGACTTAATATATTTATTTATTCAATTTATATATTGTGAATATTTTATATATTTTATATATTTTATATTTCACATGGATTTTAACATAGTGAAATATAATTAACTTTGTAGTTGGATATTTTGTAAAATTACTGTATCTAAAAAAAATCTAGAAATGAAACAATCTGATCTTCTTGTCGCATACACAAAAATAACTCAGGGTGACTGTCAGAGCATATCCTCCTGAAAGCTAAACACTGATTCAGTTTATATCGTAGTAATCAAATATGAAATGGAAATATTAATAAGCAGTTGCAAATTCAAGACTGTGTTTTTATAATGTATAATTTCTATGTAGAAAAATGTCAGGGTTTTCGGAAGGGGATATAATTAAAAGGCAGACAGGATGAAATGTTAAAGTATGTTTTTTTTCTATTTATGCTGTGCTATCTTTCAGTTATTGCTAATGGTGATAGGGTTTTTTATTTTGTTTTTTAACAAAAGTATCTGACTTCAATATTAGTAAAATTCCATCGATGCTGCAAAATCTCTACATTTACAGGTATGTCTATGGACATAATTTGAAGTTGTCTAAAAAAATTTATCACTAAACCAGGCCATGCTATACATTATACATAGCATAAGGTGAGTTTGTGGACAGTGGCATTTTTATTAAGTTTACTAACCAGGAAGTTTCAGATGGTGGCAGCAAACACCAACAAATGCAATATTTGACTGGAACTGTGGTGAATGGTTCATTTTAATACAGCAATTTTTATTTCCAGACAAAAGCTTCTCAACCACAGAAATCAGTAATCTCATCATCAAATAAAACAAGATAAAGAACACAGGGTATTATGGTGCCTTAAACCTTACATATTTATTATTTATCAATGCCACAAGTATCTTTGTTGTTTTTGCCATCGTAGCTACCCTGCTGTCATACATGTATTTATATAAGAAAAGAGTTTACACAGTCTATTCCTCAAATAAACGCTCCATTAAGATAGACTTTTATTCTTTTAGAAAAAAATTGGAAAAAATTGAACTGCATATGAAGCATCCAGGGACTCATTTGTGCACTGTGAATGGAAAATGCAAAGGGTCCTTGTGTGTTTGTGATCCTATACAACATCTATCCTCGATTTGTGCCTTTTGAAACTGATAACTCCATGGCAGTGGCTAACTAACCTTGAAGCACATGAAAGTTTGTTGTTGTTAATGAGGTCTATGAATTTATTTATGAATTCCATGTTACCTTTCACATGTTTGCAACTGCAACACATTTATTTCTGACTGTACTGTTCTAGGCTTCCTGGGCCTTCAAGGGTGCCAGCTGCAGGCAGCAGTACCAAAGTCCAGGGAGCTTCCAATTTAAATCGAAGAAGTCAGAGCTTTAATAGCATTGACAAAAACAAACCTCCGCAATATGCAAATGGAAATGAAAAAGGTGAGTGCTTAATAGACATTGTCTTTCTGAACCAGAAGCCGAAGTAGATGACTCCACAATTCCTGACATTGCCCTGGCCTTGAGCTTTGTAGAACTTTAAATTAGCATACATAAAGCCACCTGGGCTGTTTCAAATAAAGTAACCAGAAAACTCATTTTTTGAAATTAGGACCCAGAGTCATCATAAGATGTTGAAGTAATGTCTCAATTCTATCTGAAGAAAACTGCATCATAAGGGCACAGAATTTTTATTCTGGTTGTCCGATACCAGTACTGTATATATGGAAATATTCTTCAGAATTAGATATTAGACATCAAAATTGGATAGGATAACGAGTTTTTAACAGTTATATGGTATTGTATTAATATATTATTTATTCACATATTCAAAGTGAGATATTTAGGAAAGACATACCTTTTTTTTAATTCTAAAAGCAGTATGTATAACATTACATTCAAGATGTTATTCTTGATCTTAACCAAAAGTCAAAAAGTGATTATTCAAGAATATAAAGTAACATCCATAGATTTCAAGGTTATCTTCAATATTTTTGATGTTGAGAAGCAACCTTATCTGAATAAATATAACATGCCCTCAGTTTATGGCAATGGTAAATCAGAGTCAAAACTTGATTGTTTATGAGTCTAAATAAATGCTTCTTAACTTGTCAATCAAGCAACCATTTTTCATGAAAATATCCTATTTATCCTATATAAAATGATATTTTTTTTGAAAATATCCTGTTTAAAAATGAGAAATATATTGCTATGCTATGCTATGCTATGCTATGCTATGCTATGCTATGCTATGCTATGCTTTGCTATGCTATGCTATGCTATGCTATGCTATGCTATGCTATGCTATGCTATAGTGTGTGCGTGTGTGTGTGTGTGTGTGTGCAGAAATCAATGGGAAAACATTAGCTGATATGCAAATACTGATACATATTACCTTCTGGTAAATTCTATATCTTTCACACAATTACTTATAGAATTATATTAATAAAAGTATGCTAATTAATAATCTTAATTTTCAAGTTAAAGGAACATAAATTTTAAGCATACATTTTTAAAACAGCACATACTGTGCTTACCACAAGGTGGGAGTAGATGTCTTCAAATAATAGCATTATCTGGGAGAATTCTTCTTGGCTGGAAAATAACTATTATTGTTTCACAATTGTCATTTGCTTGGAAGGTATGCATTTTTGCAGATGGGTTTTCTAACACAAATATAACAAAGGCAACAGTAAAAATATTGGGTTTCTGTCGTGATGGACTCTTGTGACGAGCTGATTGACAGTTGATGGAAGCAGTTAGCTTCCTCCCATAATTGGGGCTTACCAGGTGTTGTAAAAATCTAATAGATACCTTTCACCCTGGCTTTGCTGATAACGGATAAGAGCCTGTGGCCTAATGCCTAAGATCTCTGCCTAGTATGTAATATAGCCCAGGTTCAAATCCCAGTAAGGGTATGGCTAGCTGATGAGGGCTAAATAGCTTGAAATAGATCTATGCTAGTCTCCCTTTATTTATTTATCAGCACAAATAAACACACACACACACACACACACATATATACACAATTGTCCATAATTGATTATTTATTTGTTTTTGTGTCTTTAACAAAATCCTAAAAATATTTATATTATTTGAACATTTTATGAGTGTTGTTTTTTATATCATTTGTGATGAATGCAGCTTAACTTTATAGCAACAGATTTTTTTAACGACTATTAGCGTTAGGAAAAATCAGTCTCATCATAGCAAGTCTCTCCTATATTGCAGAGATAGATTTGCAGTAGTTTCCCAAACCATTTGCAGGAGGGAAGACTAGCTCTGTTGTGAAATTCAATTACAGCAACAAATCAGAGGAATTTTGAGTGTGTTTCATCAGCAAATCTAACTTTATTGGGCTTTGACAAAGTATACTTGGTACTGAAATCAACCAGAAACTTGATTTGGAATTTTAAAGGATTTTGAATCTTGACCTAGGAATGGAAATTAGTTCTTGAAGCTAGAACTAATTGTCATAAAATATGGTTATGTGAATAATAACACATAAATAAAAATAAATATCAAATATACCTGTCAGCATCACTTCATTCAGTAATCAGGAAAGAAAACCACTGGACTCCATTTGTATTGAAATCAAGTGTACTTTTACTAATTATAAATGAACAGTTGCAAAGCTAAGCTGAGTCTGGTTAATTAGGCGTGAAAGCTAATAATATAATGTATAATTCATTCCCCTCCCCTTGGCATCCCTGTGCACAGTCCAATCATATATCCCCCAAATGTCAGGTGTGAGATAACTTCGAAAGGCATCACCAGGATGGAATGCTGGACCGTTGGCCTTGGTGGGAAACACCCCTCCTCCACCTGCGCAGTAAGGTGGTCAGTTCAGCGTCTAGAAACTTCCTCCAGCACATCAATGATTCCCCTCCCAAATACCATGCCCCCCCTCCCCGTTTCAATGGCAGCCGAAGCAGTAGCAAAGCAGAGGCTGACAATACCATTATAAATTTATTCACAACAAAAAGGGTTTTTTATCTAATTTTTTTTTACTACTAGTTAAATAGTTAAAGTAATATACACGTAGTTTTCATTTAGTGGCCACAATTGGAACCAGCAAGTCAGTTATTACATGAAGCAGTCACTACATGAAATTGTGGCTGTTCTTGTGAACTTACTTCCACTTTCCTTTGCTTTAGAGACCTGCAAAGGTCATAAATGCAAGAACTGTATGCAAAGTTATCGCTTTATCATTATTGTAACTGCAAATGGTCACTATACAAACCACTCACTAAATGACGACTACATGTAGAAGACCAAATAATATATTGAGTATAATGTGTAGCTCAGTCTCCATTCAGCATTACTTTGTTATATTGAACATGACATATTCGAGTTGCATTTGCCATTTTGTTTGGAAATTGCAGTAATTGAAATCTCACCTATCTGGAGAATGTCAAATTGGAAAAGGCTGCTGGATAGAACTTTCCAAGATCTCAGCTTCTGATTCAGATAGTGTAAATTGAAATTAAAACTTTCTGAATGCAATCATGTGCTTTTCTATTCTGATCTAAGTCATTGGCACAAATCCTTGTACTGAATATTGTAACACTTTCCTGGCAAATAATGACCATGTACCACATAAACTGAATGTGTGGAGATGCAGAACAAATCGAATTCCAGGTAATATCATAATTTCCATTATTTCCTCTTCTGAATAAATGTTAATTTCATTTTTTTAAATTATACATGTCAAATGAACATGTTATATATTCATGAGCATTATGTTATTCCTTCTACTACTGGGAATGGAATTAGCAGTAAAGAACAATATATATTAAAAATACATTAACAATGTACATTAACAATATATATTAAAATACATTAAAACTGTAAAATATACACACTCCAAGCCCCTCAAACAACACATATTATGGTGACTAAAAATGATTGGTTTTTAAGTAACAAACTAAACCATGCTCATACAGAAACATATTGCTCAATCTTTAAATTTAATTGAGAAATAGTAAATTCAAAATCTGAACTTGACCAGATTGTTTTTAAAATGCCTTTTTTAATGGTAATTGTTTTTGCTGTTATTTTTAGTTCTGGCCATCTCTTGTCAGATTGCTTTAATCATCTTTATATTAAACTGTTTCTGGCTTTGACTGCTGATGCAGCTTGATGGAAAATTTCTACAGTGACCTTTACAACAGTTTCCCAAATTTGGCAACTGATTGTTCATTAAGAGTACTATAGCAACATCAGTGTGTCTGATTTGGTAAACATAGGAGTGCAGGTAGATACGGCTGGTATCAGCAAAAGACCCTCTTGCTTCTCACATCCTATATGAGATGGCAACTTACAATATTAATTCTATAGATTTGTATGAATTTGGCACTAACTTTTATGATTTTAGTTATCAAAAGGACCTCTGAAATACTACTATTGTTTCAGTTATCCAGTTATTTACTTGCATGGGCAGGTTTTGTTACTAGCACACTGAGTATGCTTGTTTAGTGCAAAACAATTTTGCACTTCTAGTTTTTCTTGTCCGTGTGGATCATAGAACGAACGGTGTAATTACATGTGTTTATTTTTAAAACACATAATTGCCACTTTACTCTCCATTTATATTAGAAATCATTAGACAACTCTATAAATTGTATTTTCTCTCTCTTACCAACTAGAATCACCCAAAGGTCCTCACCCATCTGCAGGTATAAATGGAAATGTACAGCATCCCACCACCACTGGGCAGCAGCCGGTCTCTGCCATCTCCTCTCCAAGTGCCAGCAAGCCTTGGCGCAGCAAATCAATGAATGTGAAACACAGTGCCACCTCTACCATGCTGTCTGTGAAGCAGCAGAGCCCTGCAACCTCACCTACACCAACTGCAGACAGGCTTAAACCACCTCTTTCTGAAGCTCCCAAAACACCATCCTCTGGACAGAAATCTATGTTAGAGAAATTCAAACTGGTTAACACTCGGACTGTTTTACGGCCCCCTTTGTCATCATCAAATTCAGGCCCAGCTGACAGTGGAAAAGATGATGAAGCTTTTTTAGAGTGTGGCGAAGTGGATGGCTTCAGTGGTGGGCTCAGTACTGCTGGATCTACCACCAACAGCCCCAAAATATCCCCTAAATTAACTCCTCCGAAAGCTGGAAGCAAAAATATCAGCAATAAAAAGTCTTTGCTGCAGCCAAAGGATAAAGAAGAAAAGAGCAAAGATAAAAATAAAGTTTGCACTGAAAAGGTGATAAAGGATGAAAAGGAACAAATGCCTGAGACACCGACCAAAAAGACCTCAAAAATTGCAAGCTTGATTCCCAAGGGGAGCAAAGCAACTTCAGCCAAGAAAGAAAGTTTAATTCCTTCATCTAGTGGTATACCAAAACCTGGTTCAAAAGTACCTACATCAAAGCAGAGTAGTTCAATAGTATCTTCAGGAAGTAAAGAGGCAGAAAAACTGAGGAATACAAAAGGAAACCACCCATCTACGGCAAAATCCCAAGGGAATGAGAAAAGCTATGTTCCTTCCAGTCTCTCAGCTTCTGAAGGAAAGGAGGCCAGTACACCATTTTCTTCTCCTTCAATGCCTTCAGCCAGTGGGCAAGTCCCGGGAAGTGGTGTTGTCCAACTTCCTCAGCAGCAACAATACAGCCATCCAAATACAGCTACTGTAGCACCATTTATTTATAGGTAAGTTGGGTTTACTCACACTTTACATTTTTAAGAAGATATTGGATAACCATTTGTCTGAAGTGGTGTAGGGTTTCCTGCCTAAGCAGGGGTTTGGACTCTGTTATTCTGTTTTCTGTGTTTTTGTTAATCATTCTATCAGTCTTTAATGCTATATGATAGATAGACAGATAGACAGATGGATAGCAATAGCACTTAGACTTATATACCACTTCATAGTGTTTTACAGCCCTCTCTAAGCTGTTTACACAGTCAGCATACTGCCCCCAGCAATCTGGGTCCTCATTTTACCCACCTTGGAAGGATAGAAGACTGAGTCAACCTTGAGCCGGTGAGATTTGAACTGCTGAACTGCAGCTAGCAGTCAACTGAAGTAGCCTGCAGTACTGCACTCTAACCGCTGTGCCACCTCAGCTCTTTATAATACATACATACATACATACTTGAAATAGTGGAAAAAATGTAAAATGGAACAGGTGGAGACATCTTCCTAAGCAATTTAATCAGCACAATGGACTTGACGTTCGTTTTTCCTGCTGGAATATTTATCAAATATGTTTATGAAAAGGCTGTCACTCCTCCCCCATCTCAACAATATTAAGAATAATGTTGTATTATTTCCAATATCAGATATATTACTTGTACTGATTTCACCTTAATTATTATTTATGATTTTACAGTAACCAAACCTTACAGTTTGCTAAATTATTTTAGCGTTTTGCCTGCTTGTGGACTCTATGCAATAGTTAGCCTCATTCTGTAACATCAATAGTGGAATTAAAAATGACATATAACTTTCTGGATAAACTTGGAGGATGTGTCTTTTAGCGGGAACCTTCTGTATTATTGAAGGCCAGTGTTGGTTTGATTTACTTTGGTTTTGGTTAGAGACTTCCATCAATTTTGCAAACAATAATTCAATAATTGACATTTTCCCCCTAAGATTTGTTTTTGCTGTCATGACAGAATAACAATAGATCTACGTATGTAGCAAAAAATGAAAAAGAATAAGAATAAACAACGTATTCAATTTTTAAAAATCTTATAAATATGTATTTACATTTCACATGCTTTCTAAAATTGTATATTGTAAAACTCTATTTTAACTGACAATTTGCCTGTTAATATAGAATATCCATTAAACAGAAAATATATCACTATAGCAATTTATGCCTTTTGAAATAATGATATCAATTATGTCATTTTCATGTTACGTTAATGCTGTAAATTGGCCAAATATCAATCAACTATAAGAGACTGAAGTTCCTTCTTTATTATGGAGTATATTCTAACATCTTCCTGAAAAGAGGAAGAAGCTGTATATAATTAAAGTCTATTTAGATTCCTGTTCTGTTCTTGTAATGCCGATTAGATGACTACAGTAGAACCTCTTGTCACACTTTTGACCATGACTAAATCGGGTTCTGACCAAAAAATTCACATTTTTTTTTTCATGGCCAATTTTGTCTTCCACGCCATTTTTTGTAAGCACCAAATTTCCAAAATTAGGTTCAGGTCATGACCAAATCAGGTTGCGACCAATGTTATGGAACAAATTATGGCCGTGACCAGATATTCTACTGTATAGGAAATATGTCAATGGAGTTTCATTACATTGTATCCTCTGCATTATGTTCCCCAATAAGCCAAAGACAATGATTTTTAATCTGTAACTATCATGACCAGCATCCATTCAGCCTTAAGAAAACAAATCTTAAAAAAGACCTAGGCATTCTCTAACATCATTTAGATATAATTAAAACTGTATTTAAATTATTGCATTTGGATTTATGCTTCCCATGTAAGTGTGGAGGAACAACCCCTGTCAGGATTTTTATAATTATCTCAGAATTTAAATAAATAGCATATTTGTCACCAAGAATTAAAATCACAGGCTTTTTTTTTTCAAATTAAAGTTGGGTCACAGATTTTGACATAATTAGCAATTGTTTCATTAAGATGAAAAATAGCAGGGAAGTCTCATGTTCTCTTTTAGGCTATGAAAAATGTGAGCACTTGCATTCTGCTGTCATTTTTCTTGCCATGAATTTTTCTCCTAAGGAAATGCTCTAGTACTGGGCTTCATTTTTTAATTAGAAGAAACTCAAGAAGTAGATGAGTAATTTGGAAAACAATTTCCCTATATTTTTCCAGTAATTTTTTTTTTTTTTTTGGCTAATGCTGGATTTTGAGTTTTTCCCAGGTTATGGCTATTGAAGTTACTTCATCATACCAATTTTATGTCCTATAACTCAATTTTTCCATTGTGTGCTAAAATAACATTATGCTATTATAGGTGTTCAAGCTGTGAAAATACTATTCCAGACCCCATGACATTCTTCTAAGGTGTTTCTAGGTTCTAACACTATTTTCACATATAAGGCTGAAAATTATTTTTGAGTTTCTAAACTGTTAATTTATTAGAACGAGTGATCATTGATAATTCATGTATTTGTACTTCAAAGAAGTAAGCAGTCTGATATAGTTTTACTGACTTAATTATCTGAAAATTCATTTAAGAAGCCACCTTTATTTAAGTATATAGGTCAGCTGCTTGCATATGTCAATTAAAGAACTAGAGAGATTATTGATAGTAACCAGAATTCTTGGAATAAATTGTTACTAACTATGTTACTTAGGCATGCGAGTGGTACGAAGTCATTTCATCCATAGGTGGAAGGCCCACAGTTTTATAAAGTTGTTGCTTTTTCCAGTAAATTGGAAAAAAAGTTGGATTTTTCTCCTTTGATATTTTTCCTGTGTTCTAGATTGAATTTGAAATGGAAAGAAATGTCTATTCATTAAAGGAACAGTTTGATTTTATAGATATTTATGTGCTCAGATTTATGGACATGGATCAGATTGGTGTAGCCAATGAAAAAAACATATGTGCTATTTAAGTGAAATGTTGCACATTGAACTCAGAAATCGGTTCATATCGCTCAATTGTCAATGCAAGAACTGAAAAGAGGGAAGCGAGCTATGCTGTTTTGATTGATATTTAATCATCTATTTTTTCCGACATAAATCTACTTTATCTCCTTTCAAGGCCCACTATAACTTCTGTGACTTTTGATATATAGTTGACACACAAGCTCTGTAATTCTGAGCCTTCAGCAAGCTGTTCTATCCCTAAAATGGCAAATTAGAGGCACCAGCATGATAGTAAATTTAACAGTTTGTGTCACTTGCAGTCATTGCTGCGAAATTAAAGTGGCAACATGCCAAACTCTGCCCTCAAAGCTCAGCAAAACAGGCTAAATTATTTCCCTAGATATATTTTTGGTTAAAAATATTTATCTCAAATTGTATATGTTGTAAATATGTACAGATTTAACATATAGTAAATGGAAACACAAATTTTAAAAAAACAAGAAAATAATCAAGGAATGCTTTTCTTCCTAAATTCCCCATCCTAACTTCTTAACTCATCTGTAAGTAGCTGATTTCACTTCCAATTTTCCTAATATTCTTTATTGTTATATTATGTAAACTATGTTTTTATAGTTATGTACATTTGTGAATACTAAAAAATTCCTACCCAATCTTATCGAAGCTTTGAAATCCCAGAAAGCTGCAATACATGTTAACAACAAGGCTTTTGGAATATGAGAGCAATTGGTAAGATATATTTGTGAGAAAGATTGTTCAAAGAATAATGGATTTTCAGAATAGAAGTATAAAGCCAGGTTCTTGCTCAATCAGTGTAGATTCATTTAGCAATAATAATCTTTAAGTTATGGAGGTAAATTGGGGGACAGACTACAGAAGATGTCCTCGGAATATAATATGTCAAAGTAGTAACCATAGATAAAAGGATCAATGAGAATTTTGATTTGATGGAAAATAAGTTAAAAAAGAAAATGAGAAAAGTAAAATAGAGGCAATATCTTGGGTTGTGGTGTAACCAGAATTGTGTAGATACTCATAAAAAAATTATGATATATTTTTTTTCTACCAACTCAAGAAAGTTTGTGGTTAGTCATTCATTGGGAAATATAGATGAGTTTTAATGTTCAGATTTGTAACACTTAATTGGGATGCAACATTATAAAGAATAGACAATAATAACATTTAAAACTTAGCTGAACCTACAAATCTGTTAAATGAAGACATCCTTGCACAATAATATTTACTCATGCTTCAGAAGGGAAAGCAGAAGGGGGGGGAAAAACAGCTTTGAATATATTGTCGCAAATTCGCCCAAATGTGATTTATTCCAATTGCTTAATAAGTTATAAATGAACTTGTGGTTTTTTTAAAAAAATCACTGGGTTCCTAGTTAAAGACTTACCAGAAAATGACATTTATTCATTTATGACAGGATGTGTAAAGGATGCGCAAAACAAATAATTTGAGGCTGTTAGCCAAGCTCATGCTTAGAGCATGATGCGAACCTTAATGTTACATCTGAACCACAAGTTTTGCTTCAGATACTGCCTGATATAATACAGGCAGATGCTAAAACTAAACATGAGAGAAAATATCTGCCTGCATATTTTCTTGGAGGCTTAAAGAATAACTCAAGGATATTATATTCTACAAGCTTCTGTTTATGATGCCATTTTATTTTTAAAAAAATATTAGCATGTATATTTCTCAGAACTATGTTTTCCCATCCTTTGCAGACAGTTTTTGAAAAAGAAAAAGAATAGATAGGAAACTTAGAAGTCATAAATATAGCAGAACTGACAGGTTGTTATTTTGCAAAACACATGTTTTTAACAAAGCTTTCCAAGGTGCCCTCTAGTTGGTTGGATGTTATCTTTTTAAATTGGAGACTGCAAATAGTGAAATTTCTTTTTTTGAAAATAAACAGACTTCATGTGAACAGAGGTAAAATTTGTTTTGTGAATAAAATGATCAGAAAAACTAAATTCAAATTAATTGGAATTAATATTATAAATAATGCCCAAGGAGAATGGAGGAAAAATATTCTTGTTCTCATAATTTTAACTTATTCTGGGTTATTGGATAGTGTTGTCATGGGGCAATTGATACAGTTTAGCAGAGTTGTGAATCTGGGATCACAGTATTTATTGTTTAAAGATTTAATTCATACTTTCAATTTTTCAGAGGAAATTATAATCATTATATGGTTATAATTAGCTATCTAATAAAATTATTCTAATGACCTTACTAGTATTAAAATACACATTTGTGTAATATTATCTAAAGGCAATCCTACTGGTTAGTATAATCCTGTATAATAGGTATAATGAAAATGTGTTCAGTGGTGATAAGCTTCAAAAGCATCTTTCACAAGAAGTGTCTTCTTTAGACATACTAAATTACACTTCCCATCAACTGCAACTCTTGATTTGTTTCTACCATTGATAGCAGTCTACTAACCAACATATCTTAGTTCTTATTTGCAATATAGGTCTCATTTCACTATTAGTCTTAACTAGCAACATATTGCTGTTTTCCTGTTTGGTATTATTTTGAGTAATATAATTCCTATAATCAATCATTTGGAACACATGCATGCCTATTTGTGGTTAAGCGACTTGATTTACTTATTTTCGTCTGTCTTATTTCCTATCTTGAAATGAAAGATGTTAGAAACATTTTGTCTTTGACACCTTGGCTGAATTAATCTAACCAAATACATCTTAGTGGTATATTGTCTCTATTTACACCATATGAATACAATATTCTATCTCATGATTAAGCGTTTAGCACTTTATCTTCTAGATCCTTACAAAGAAGTGCAAATGATATTTCTATTTTTGACTACATATACTGAATTATAAGTCATCACTGTTATGATTTTATAGATGTTACCTTCCATCTCTTTAATTCCAGAACTCATTCGGAAAATGATAGTTCTTCTATCCCATCTTCTGACTCTTGTATCAGTCCTACAAAATTGGATTTGGCATACAGTAAAACTGCCAAGCAATGTCTAGAGGAAATATCTGGTGAGTAATATATAATCATTGCTTAATAGTGATATATTTCTGAATTATTATGGCCATACTTAAATAGAAAAACTACATGGAAATAATAAAATATAAAATGAATACAATGTACTGGTAGTACTCCACTTACAATCACAATTGAGCCCAACATTTATGTTGCTAAGTGAGACATTTGTTAAATGACTTTTGCCCTGTTTTATGACTTTTATTGCTACAGTTCTTAAGTGAATCATTGCAGGTATTAAATTAGTAACATTGTTACCAAGTGAATCTGGTTTCCCCATTGACGTTGCTTGTCAGAAGGTTGCAAAAGCTTATCACATGATTCTGTGATACTGCAATTGTCATAAACATGGACCAGTTGCCAACCATCTGAGCTTTGATCAAGTGACTTCTTTGACCCCTCTTTCAAGCCAGCGGTCTTCTCTGTCCAAAATGTGGACTTTGCTGGTTTGAAAGAGGGGTCAAAGAGGATATTTATGTCAAAATTGAACAGCCCTCTCTCAATAGGGGGGGGGGATGCGACATCATCTATCTCCAATCTATAACACAGTCCTTTCAACAGTTCCAAAAAGGTTCCACACCAATTTGCATCACTCAGGTGACCCTGATGACACAGATAAATCTTCAAGCATGCATCTTCATGCATCACTAAAATAATGCAAATGTCCAGCTGTCTGTAAGGAGTATAAATCCTTCCATTATCCACCATCCTGTCAGAGCTGAGGAAGCTTCTTGGATGAGAAGCAAAATATCTTCAAAGGAAAACCAGAAAATCCAGTTGCCTCTTGAAAAAGCACCTTTGGGACAACAATGACCTGGATGTCTAAGAATCTCCATAGGCATTTTTCACAGTTAGATGTTTGAAACAATTACATTAATATAATTACTTTTCAACTTTATAGTAATATATAGGATTAAAAATTCTCATAATTTCGCAAACTGTTTTTTTTCTTTTTCATTTTAACCCATGTTTCCCTAAAAATAAGATCCAGTCTTATTTTGGGGGGGGGGGTAATCTGAAATAAGCACTAGGACTTATTTTGGGGGATGTCTTATTTCTTTTGAGTGCCACTGCCACACGATGGGAGGGTGAAGCTGCCCCATGCACCCTGCACTGGCTTACTTCAGGGCCCCCATAGCCAGGCCATCCATGCCCTGATACCTACCTCGCCTCATGGCCATGGCACCAGCACGTCACATGGCATCCTGCTCTGTTGTGAGTGGGCCAGCAGCTATATGGACTCCTGCTGGATGGGGCTGTCGGAGCTGCCACCATAAGGCAGTTGTTGGGGCATGGATGGCCTAAATGCAGGGGCCCTGAGGTAATCTGGTGTGGGGTGCATGGGGCAGCTCCATCTCACTGCCACACCTCAGGGCCTTGGCAGCAGCATGTAATTTGGGTTCCTGCTATGATGCAGCATTGGTGCTGGAAAAAGAAGTGGGCTGGTGGTCACGTGGGCTCTTGCACATGTTTGCTGGTGCTGCCATCATGAGTTCTTGGGGCATGGATGGCCTGGCTGCAGGGGCCCTCAGATAAACTGGTGTGTACACAGGGCAGCTCCACACCTCACCTCGTGTTGGCATCACCAGCAACCAGACAGAATGGGTGAGGGGCTGGTTGTGCAGGCACTTAAGTAGGGCTTATTTTTTCGGGGGAGGAGGTCTTATTTTGAGCGCATGCACAGAAAACATGCTAGAGGTTATTTTTGGGATAATCTCATTTTGGGGAAAACACAGTACAAATTATCTCCACTTCCTGGGACATTCATGTAGTATATGAAATTCTTGGTACTCTCTGAGCTTCATGGCTTGCTTGTAAATATTTAATCTCCTAACTCAGAGTTCCCCGATATTTCCAGATTAGGATTTTAGGAAATGGTTTTTTGTGGGGTGCAGATGCATGTGTTGCTTGCATGAGTGGGATCGGGAGCACCTGCGATGCTGGTGCAAGTGCGGCTATGTGCACAAATGTGCACGTGCACCAACTGGACACTCACATGGCCTGGTTGCAACTGGTAGTGGGCTGCAGCCCACAAATTGGGGATCCCTGGCCTAACTAATCAGTATGAAATGTTACCTCCATATGTTACACCTGAAGTTTGGGGAAGTAATAGCATAGTGACACAAGTGAAAACTTTCACCTAAATCAGGCAGATACATTTTCTAGAACTTAGTCTCTAGATTCCTATTTTCACAATTATAAAAAAGAATTCTGCAGAAGAAATATATACAGAATTATCAAGAAATGAGAAAGTTCTATATGAACAGAGGCTAACTTATATTTGGCTTTTAGTGTTGAAAACTCACTACATATGACCACAATAGATTGTAATAATTTGTAGTGTGAAAAATTAGATGTTATTCCTTTTATATTGTACTAGGATTAGGGGAAACTAAACAGTAGCTTTCAAGACAGAAATTAGCAAGAGGAGCTATTATTTTCAAGCTGTGTTTGTGAGTTTCCATGGAGATCTGCTTGGCATTGTGTGAAGTAGGTTGATAGGCCTTTTAAAATGGATTTAATTTTTTTTAAAAATCATTTAAATATTTTGTTTCTTCAAGTTAGTAATTTTATTAATATGTCTGCATATACTAGTATGCTAATATGTTAGGATTTCAAGTTATTTCCAATGGCATGTAAAATATAAGAATGAAATTTGGAAAAAAATAGGAATTCAATATATCTATCACAATTACATTTTGGTGGATCTTTCAACCAAAGATCCACCAAATGCTAAAAGTTCTACCAAATAGAAACATTTTGTCTTGAGTTTACATCTAATCTATTTATCTATTATATATACATACATGCAAAGATATATACAAAAAATTATGTAATGTGCATATAAATGTGTCATAAATGTAAAGTTGACACCCACACTTTTTATTTCAGGAAGCAATTTTTGTTATATATTCTTTATATGAAATTACATTTTAATCAGATTAAATCTGCAAATTTACCTGGAGGACACATTGCTAAACACAATGAGTTTTATTTGTTAAGTACCCATGCATGGATTTGGGTACATAGATAAGGGTGGACCTGTAAATGGTTGGCAATCACTTCTTTTCCATTAGTGTTTATACATCAAATTCTATTATCATTGAGTTTGTAGTGACTTAAGCTCAGAAGCAGCTGGATTTTCTATAAAGTTTGTTCTCCATTGATAATACAAGGGTAGTCTAATCTAATGTGTATCAGTAAAATCTGATTCTCCAGTCTGATTCTGATTTTTTTTAAAAAAAACATTTATTTAAAATTGCTGATAACTTCATTAAAATTTGTTCTAATTGGCCAGAATTTTTTCCACCTACACAGCTAATATAATTTTTATATTTAGTTTAAACAAATAGTCATCAGCCCACCATCTGAGTTTACAAATATGCAATATGTTCATAGAAATTTGCATTACACACAAAATGTCTAGATATAAAAATGCTTACAACACTCCTGTGAGTACTTCATTGCCACACTGAAATGTACAGAAACCATCAGTCTATTAGGCTATTGAGAGAGAGACATCACTCTTCTTTTTGTAATGGGTTTTCCATTTCTGCTCCAGTCTATCATAGAAAGCGTAAAAAAGAATAAAGGACTTTATAGGAAGCTTATTACTACTTTAGTGATAGTGAGATGCTCAAGGTAAGTAGAAATTGCTGGAGGTAGGACACAGATGTCTGAATCAAAAGAGACTAGAATGTGAAAACTTTGCTAAAATAGGTTGATTTTTACTTGAACAGCAGGTTGCAAATATCCACATGTGGTATCTAATGAACATTGTTTTTTGAATAGTTAACTTATGGAGTAGGTGCTTTTTATGTATATGAATATTTCATCATTAGGGAATATTTATTATTGTTTACTGTTTGTATGCATATTGTCATGCTGATTTTGATGTTATCTGCAGGTTTTTTTTGTTGTTTCTTGAATAAATTGATGTGCAAAAGCAACAACAAATAAAATGTTTAGTTATTTGGCATCTTACCATCAGGATAATGGAATTTCTCATGAGATATCATTACTTCTGATGACAGTCACGGTGGATTTAAACATTCCTGCTTTCTTAAAATGGACGTACCATAGTGGATGCAATGTTTAAGTGTTCTTATTCCATTCATTTTATCCCAGGCAGTGGATGCTATGTTTATAGTCCACCATGAAAGAGACTTGAATGGTGACTTGGCCTTTTATTGTTTCAACAGTGAAACCTCACTTTAATAGACCACTTGGGGGAACAGGCTATCAGTTATTCCTGTCCATTAAATCCAAAAGTAGATCATTTGCAGTGATTGAAATCATTTGCTAATTATATCATATTACATATTACGCTAAATCATTTGCATAATTTGATCATTATACACATGATGTAAATAAAATGCACTTCAAAGTTAGCATATGGAAATTATCCAAACAATTTCCTGTGTATCAAAAATATCCATAACTTGGGGGAAGGGGTGAGATACTGATTTTGACTCTTGTCTGTTAAATCAAGTCTATGGATGGGAGCTGTGCCATTTACATGCTCTGTGAGTAGTCTTTAATAGTGGACTGATGCTATGCATTTTGTTTTTATTTTATATATTAAACAGTTTCTCTCATTATATTACATGGCTTAAATGCATTAAAACATAAAGAAAAGAACTGACTGTTTTGCCTGCTGGTTTGCACAGAATCCACCCATGGTTAATTGACCCTGACTTTTCATGAGCCTAGTATCTGTGTGTATGTCTCTGTGTGTGAGAGAGATGGAGAGGGAGAGCAGGAGGGAGAGTGAGGGAGGGGGGAGGGAGAGATAGATAGACAGACAGACAGACAAATAGTGTGTGTGGTGTGTGTGTGTGTATGTGTGTGTGTGTGTGTAGATGTTTGTAATCCAAGGTCAAAAGTAATTTCTTCTATACCTTTGGAAGATAAGTTTTTTTGTTTTAAAAAGGTTTTGCATTTGTATTCTTTATTGCTTCAGTTCTCTAATTTACTACTGTGCCAGCACCATTGC